GGGGGGGGGGGGGGGGGGGTTGAAAAGCGATTGTAAATCGGCTGTTCCGCCGATCCGCGCAGAAAGACGATTTCGGCGAGACGCGACACATGTTCGTTCACACACACACACACACACACACACACATGCGCGCGCGAGCGTGTTATAATATTATCGCAGCGTATACGCGGGAGCGTGCGTGCGGTGCGATTGTGGGTGCGAGGGTGCGTGGGTGCGCGTGGGTGAGAGAGAGTGACGATCCACGACACTGCTGCAGCGTGTGCGTTAAACCACGCCGCCCGTCTCTGCCGCACGCGAGCGTTTGACCCACATTTATTCCGCGGGCGCGCTCGGCTCGTCGCCGTCGTTCCGCGCCCGTACATGTAGGCCCCGCGGCCGCCGTGTGGTATACATGTATATACGAAGCCCTCCGCGTCCACCCGCCGCACCCACACGAACTCGCGTGTTTGCGACGACGAAAATCTGCCGACTGTTCGCGCGTCATCCCTCGGCACCCTCCAGCCGACCACCGTCAGATCATCCGACCCGTCACTTCGCGCTCGCAGTCCTATAATATTATTATTGTTGTTATATTCGCGAGCACACATATATTAATATATTATTATTTATTACGTTTGAGGACATTTACTATGTACGAACGTGCTGCGACAGTGTATAGTATTCAACATAATATTATTATCATGTTGATTTTATTGTACTGGATTAATAATAAATTGTACTATTAAGTTCATAGTATGATAATATATCGTTTCGTATTATAATGCATCGACAACTGTGTTATTTGCAGGGTCGATGTAATAATATTATTTGTAGGGTTGTATCCTCGGGATGCCAAGACCTGCTAAGAATCGGATGGGACTATTATTATAGCTTATGTACAATTATTGAATTACGACGGTGTTGGCGGGTCGTCGATGTCGTTGATGATAATATTATAAGATGTTTTCGTTGTGTATTATTATTATTATTATTATTATTATTACAAATATGTCACTCCACATATAATATTGTTATGAAAAACATTTATACGACGGCGTTCGTTCAATAATAAACCGCCGGCGGCCGTTGGAGTAAATCGCATTATGTTTCTATAATAATAATTATTGTTGTTGTTGTTATTGTTGTGTTGCTGAGCCCGTCGTCGCGGCGGGAAAGCTCTCCGTCCGATTTCCGCCAAATCAGATAACGGCGTGGCATTCAGTGCCACGCTGCGGTCGTAATCGCATTCGAGATCGAGGGAGGTCCGCTTTTGGAGCTTTCGTCGTCGTCGGTTCATTAATCCAATTTAATAATAACGGAATCGAAAATAGAAAAATCGGCTTGTACCCAACGCACGCTGCAGCATGCGTGTCCGTCTGCACACAGAGGTAATACAATAATTATTATTACACCCCCCCCCCCCGCGCGACTGCGGTGAACAAACCACGCGTGTGCCGAGTTTTCCTGGTGGCAAACATTGCTGCAGGGATGGGGGCGGGCGGGAATTGGATGCTCGGTTTTATATACGTGATATACCACTGATACCGCATTACCACAAGCGCACCCGGTAAACGCACGTTCGTTATATTAATCGCCGTTACCTGTGTATATAATATACGTACATGTATATCGGGTCAATAATATTATAATATAACGAACCAATTATGTAGTACCGCTCGCAACCGAAATGTTCATTATACCTGTACATATATATAATATATATATATATAATTCAACTTAAGTCTTAAGCTCAGATATCGCACGTACTAGAGATTATGTCGTACCACATAAGCTTTCCGGTAACGCAAATACCGCCGAAATCTGTATCAAATCCGCGGTCATTACGTTTGCAACCCACGTGGGTCGTGTTCGGGATCATCGCATCGCGGATCGGACGCGCGTATTATTATCGACACGACTCTAACGTATAATATATAAATATTCCTCAAGCGGGTGACAATATAATCAATTTATAGAACAGGCATACCATCGCCTTCGTCATGGGTTTCCGTACAAAACGATAAACATTATGTTATTATTATACGGTTTACGGTCGTACTTGCCGGGCGCAGATGTCCGACGGACGAAGACAGTCGTGCAGTAACCGCTGCCGGTGCAGCAGGGCCCATGCGCCCTCGGCAGTCGTAGCCTCCTCTTTCGGCGCACCAGCTAACGACGGCGGTCGCAGACGCGTACTCCGTGGCGGTGCAGACGGCTGCGGTGCGGGCCCCGGCCTAGGGCACTGATTTCGAACATGACGGCGGGTGCGGCGCACGTGTGACGGTCACGGATCGAATGGCACTGCTGCTGCTGCCGGCACGGTGGCGGCGGTCGACTCGTGGGGATTTTCCGCCGCGCGACCTGGGAAAAACGGCGACCGTTTGCGCGCGCCCGACGCCGTATTTTCGATCCCGTCCGACGCCGCCACTGCAGCCACCGCCGACGCCATCACCGCCGCCACCGCCGCCACCGCCGCCACCGCCGCCACCGTGCCTATCGCTCGGCCTCGTTGAAACCTCTCTAGATGTTCCTCAGTCGAACCACGATGATGATGATGATGATGATGATGATGATGATTATCATCGTCATCATTACCACCGTCGTCGTCGTCGTCATCATTCTCCCGTCAGCACACAATATAGTATTATATAAATATTATAACGCACTAAGTTGTATATTATATACCTATTTATATGCATTTTGCGGGATAGTTGGGGGGGGGGATTGGTGGAGGTGAATTACTAAAAAACCTAAGGCGATAGACTTTCTCATTTATCCCGTCGATTATTATCCGGTAAAACAGTTTTTTTTTTTTAAACGAAAACTTCTAGTTTATGTCTATTAGGTACCAGGTACGCCTACACTGTAATAATGTTATTATACCCTTTTTATGGCCATAATAATACAATATAATATTCCAGATTGGGAATCTCCGGGACCAGCAGCAATAGTATGACGTACGAGTATATTTCACTCTTTTTTGGGGGTGGCTAAACTTATTTTGTTAAAGATCTACTGAGAATATGTTTCGTTTGAGGGAATCATAAAATACCTACAACTATCGCTGACAGTGGTCACTATAATTGTTTAGGAGTGGGGGACTATTAAATGAAACCTTCACCTTTGAATCATCATCTTCTCCGCATACAATATAATGTGTAATTTTTTCTGAGGGTGATGGATGGAAGTTAATTTTAGGGTAAACTTAAGGTGACAGCATTTCTTTTTTATCTTAGATTGTTTTCTAGTAAAACCCTTTTCAAAGCGAATACCTCTCAATACAAGTCTAAATCTATAATTCAATATTCAACTTACTATAAATTAAAGTATTCTCCATAACACACTAAGACCACATATTATTATATATATATAAGAATATATAGCAGCTGATCATTTCTTTCTCGGTCAGTAAGGTATATACGAATATATTATAGGTTGGTTCTCTAATCAGGGGTGATCAAGTTTTTCTGTAAAAGGATGTACTGAAAATAAATATTGTTCATTTGGGGAGCCATAAAAATACCCTCAATTGTTGTCGATAGTGGTCACCAGGATTTTTTCATGGAGGGGGGCTACCAAATGTAAATAATAAATTCTAACAAAAAGCGATCGAATTTTAAATCGTCCATGATCGACCGTTCGCCACTCCTGCTCTGTTTTAAACGATATATTATAATATTATCATATGATTGCAATCGTTCACTGTACGCATCAAACGTTCTTTTTTTCCTTCTGAATTCGAGTTAACTATTTATTATAAATGTGTGGGCAACCGATAAATTAATCACTATTATAGTAATAGTTTATAGTGTCCCGAAATGTGTTTTGGATTATCGAGTTTAGCGATGTACCTAATACGCATTTACCGCGGATGTTTTTTTATTATATTTCTCCGTGACCGTTTTTTACGAGCGAAAGGAATGCTCAAAAAGTTTCACGTAGCCTCTTCCGAAATCGAGTCTAAACGATATACTTCGAAGGGTTAACGTTTAAGTGTCTCAGGCCGCATAATATAATATGGCAAAATACCGACGACCGTCCACAGTTTTTGAAAGAACGTCAACAGGCTCGTGGTTTTCACCGGGTTCCGTTCGAAAGTGTTTTTTGAACGCTACGATTTACTGTACGCTCCCGAATTTAATGTCCCAGCGAACCAGCAAATAATGAGCACAGCGGGTTGCGGGAGACGAGTCTGGCCTTTTTTTTATTCTGTAACATACACTTGTATATAAGTTATATTTAACAGCAGTTTAAAATATAAATCAACAAAACAAAACGCTTGCTCATAACAAAAAAAAAAAACCCCAACACAAAAAAGAACAATAATGTACGGTTAATGGGGTTTTTTCTATACGTCTCTTTGACGTATAATATTATAATAAACGTTTGTATATTATTATGCGACACGCATCTATTGTCGCGTTAAAATAATAATGAAAAACGCGCGTATTATTCATATATATAGTTATCATATTTATACTCGTATAGACTATGTATGGATATTATATTATTTACTACATATTACAATATTGTGTAAAAGTACAAAAGTCAGCTCGAAAGTCTTGGCGGTTTTGTAACTATGTATACGAAGTACAGACGTATTATAGTCTTGTGGTCGCACCGAAGTTTCTCTGATTGTTACAGGATTATTATGCTTTGCGTCCCACACGTACCTACACGCTCGCGAACTTACCCAAATAATAATATCATAATATCACTCGTCACTCGCAAAACCGCGTAATAACAATTCGTCACGGAATCGTTCTGGAGGAAGAACTATCTTACTATGTACATTATAATGGGGGGTTCGTAAAGGATTTCGGTAGATATTTTCGGCAATACTAAATAAATGGGTAGGCCCCGACAACGATTGTGTGTACCTATATAGATTTGTTCGCGGGTGAGCCCTCGTGCGATCCGTTTGGAAGTTTTTCTCTCTCTCTTTCTATCATTTCGCATGCTGCAGCAGGTATTATTCGTATATGTATATATTATAATAATACGCTCCGCGCGTATATATCGATCGGCAGCGCTAATAAAATGCATTAATATGTAACAACGAATTAAAGCCCACCCACGCACATACGACCGGTACAGGTATATAAAATACACACGTTATGTAAAGTTTTCATCGAGACGTACACGCCGCATGATGCACATAATATTATATATGCCTGCACGCACAATAATACACTCACACATATTATACCTGCTGTATAATATGCGTATAGAGCAGAGCTGGTTGGCGGCATATACGTCTTTCCGGATATCCTTCAATTCGTTCATATATCGACCATATATAAGTGTGTGTGTGTGTGTGTGTGTGTGTGTGTGAGAGAGAGTAATAGTACCTATGTATTGTGTGTATATAGTTCAAACGCTCTTGGGGTACTATATATATATATATATATATATATATAGGGTTACATTATTGAGAGTTTACATTTCTATACGAATAAACGATTTCTTTACGTATTTTAAATATATTCTATTCCTTTTCAGAGTTAATATATATACTTTGACTAGCGCTCACACACGCATAAAATACAAACATATATTATGTACATATCCGTACATTATATATTATTATTATATACATAGATACTATGTAAAGCAGCGATATAATAATTTTGCGAACGTTTGACGTTCGTGTTAGTGAGACAATAACTGATTGATGATTAAATACATAATTCTATAACTTTTAAGCCTTCGAAAGTTTAGACAAAAGTCAAGTAAGGCACCTATATAAAGTGAGTAAAAAGTGTCTTATGCTTACTAGTTATTACTGTTGTAGGCAAGTGAATTAAATAATTTAAAGCACTGTAAGATCTTTAAAAAAAAAAATACATTTCAAATCTACAAATACCCAAAATTTAAAATATAAAACAAAAGTTTCAACATTGGATACGTTGTTACATAATTCAAACTATCTGAAGAATGCTACGTCTTGAAATAAGTTAAAGAAATTGCGCTCTGCCTCAAATTCCCAGCACTTGTTATTACTAAATATTTATAATTTATTTATAATTTAAGACACACATTATTTCAGAAAACACTAAAGTTTTTGAAAATATTTCTTTTATATAATTTTAAGACAAATCAAAATTTGTGCAATGGGGACATCCCTGTAAGACTGCACCATTACACTCGGCTTATCATAACTTTAAATACCTACTTATGACTTATGAGTATAACTGTTCCAATTATTCATCCAAAATTCGATTTTTTTCCCATTAAAGCACTCCAAAAATATTCTGCTTTGGATGAAGGAATTAAAAAAGCATGTAGTCATTAAAAAAATCGATTTATAAAAATAATAGAAATATATTTTTAGAATAATTTTTTTTAAGGACTTAGAACGTTGTAAAAAAATATTTTCGATGACGTTAATAGTTTATGAAATAATCAATGAAATATAATGTCTTTCGTTAAGTTGATCACCCAGTATGTTATTATTTTATGTTCACTTATTTGAACATTTTAAACTTTTAAACTTTATGGTATAAAACTATTATATAGAATGTTATATTATTGCATAATAAATATTTATAATTTATAAACATGAAAATGTTATTAAATATTCTATAATTTAGGTATTAAAGTTTTCTCTATTCCATATTTATTTTAAATCCTAATTCTGTTAGTATTTCGGAAGTTAGAACCTCGGTTTCATATCTGTGAATATTGAACATTTAAGTTTAGATGACCCATTAAGTATATTCTGACTCATTGTATTCTTATTAAATTTGTATTTATCCTTCTTAAGGTAGATGATTACCTTTCTGATGTACTAGCCACCAAACATTCGATGTCGAAAATATTTTTAAAAGTATAAATATAGTTTTATTACACAACTTACAACTACACAAGTTTATTGCAGCGATTGCATTATGTGGAAAAGAATGATTTTGGCAATGGAACTTTTTGTACCACAAATAAAACTCAGCATCTGTAGTGGTCTATAATTGTTATACAATTCTAAAAGTTTTAAATTCTGTGATTTTTCTGCTTGATTAGGAGTTTTTCCAGTCGATAGAAGGCATTTAATACTTATTTAATACTATATTTTTGCTTTAAAACTCGTTCTGATATATTATTAACAAAAGAATCTCAGTAACCTTGGAATGAAAATAACATGTCTATAATATTCCTATTAATTTTCTGCGGGTACAGTACACCGTTTGGGTTAAATTTTTGTTAATCTAGGTATACTAATTGATATTTATAAGGCTTCTAACGTTTATATGTCAAATGCTATGTTTACTTGAATTATATGCCAGAATACTGAATA